GTCATTGTCTCCGGGAAGGAGCCAAGATTCAGCAGCTTCACAGAGCTGCTGAGCTGCTTTTAGAGACAGACAGTTGTGCAGAGGTTTTGGAGGTGACCTGTGCTTCCTGACTTTATCTGCTGAGACAGGACTGGAAAAGGCCATCAGTCACACAAGTGTACGCCACTAAGTTACAGGTCCATGAGAAATATAAAACTGTTGATATTTTCAACAAGGTCAAGAGTCAAGATGTGTGTATGTTGGGTAAGATGTTGGCTGTGTGTAGATGAGCAATAATGATGTCACGATTAAAGCAGAATAGAACAGGGAGAGGGGGATAGCGGACGGCCGGGGGTAGGTTATGAAAAGAAATGACATGACACAAAAACAAAATGAGCAAGTAAGAGGAAGGGAGAGCTACAAACAACTGTTCAAAAGTAGTCAAATACGTCTTAAATTTGACAAAACTGTCCATCTGGCATAATCATTTTCTTTGAGAAAAGAAACTACTTGTAGTGTTGTTTCTTTTGCAGTTGCAGAGAGGGTAAACCCAAAAATGATTTTTAGTTAACATAAATCAAAAGACCAAGATGAAGAACTTGTAAGTATGATTTCCATAGTTGGAAAAGTGGTTTAAATGAAGAGGATAACGGAGGTGTGCAGAAGTACAAGAAACAGCTGATGTTGTCAGCTACAGCGTCACATATTCAGTTGTAACATCATGATGTTTGCAGCTCGTCTTATCTGGCACCGGGNTATACTGGGTCTGATCGTTCCGCATCATCCATGACCTTTGCTATGCAAATGTTTCTGCGAGCACTTCTCCTGATAAATGTGTGAAGCCATTTTGGGTGGAGCGTCTGAATCTGTGTTACTGGGCTGTTAATGATTGCACTGAACAAAAGCTGCCTTGTGACCAACGCTCAAGGACAGAGGGAGTTTTAAAGATGGGTGTATGTTAGCAATCTGACCAGCCGCTAAAGGCTAACAACACGTGCATTGATCCAAGGAGACAGCCAGCCCTCTAACCTGCTGAGTGCCCAGTTCTAGTGAACAATGGAGTTCAGAGCGCGTCGATATACTATCCTATTGAGTGCTGGCCGTTTAGCTGCAAGATTGATGAGTTTGAGGAGCTTAACAGTGTCAGACCCAAAGGTGTCACACTGGCCAAACAACATAACCACATCAAGCGTCACTTCTTCTATGCTAACCAGTCAGCGGTACACAGGCTGTAGGCCGGGGAAGGGTACACAAACGGAAGTGGAGGTGCTGGAGAGTCCTAAAATGTAAATGAGAATATGAGGTAGCTTTTTGAAAGGGAATGCACAGCAAATCCCCTAAGACACTAAATGATGTACAAGTGAATTTATTACAGTGTGTCCCTATAAATCTAAGGTTGGCCTGAACTCCAGGGAGAGGTTAATGGATTACAAAGGCATGTGGTATCGAACCTTAGAGGAGTTTATACACCTCATCAATATGTGAAACACTATTGATCATTTGGCCCTTGATAAATTAAATTCATACGACTGATAATGCTCGGTAATATTCATAACACCGTGTATGAGGAAGAATGCTCTTTTCCAAGACTTTTTGGAGAGAAGCGTTGGTAAAGTGGGGCGGGTTTAGTGGCGGCAGCGGTGGTAAAGTGTGCATTACAGCTGTACAGTCTGTGCTCAGGGACTCATGAAATCATCAGCGATGCAATCTTTGTGAGAAATTACAACTAATGACTGAAGCTGAGATTATGACAATAGTTTATCAACACAAACCACAACCAGTTCAGACAGTTTCATGAACTTTGCCAGAAAATAGAATTAATCTGTTTGGCGTACGGCTCATAACTCTGGAGATGAGCTATCAGTCAGAGCGGTGAATAAATGATCTCAGCGCTGAAAGAATGGCCTCCAATTAAAGGGGAATTTCAACAATTGTATACATCAGACTCTGGGTACAGGGACCAGGAGTTAATGTGATAATTGTGGGGGAAAAATTGTTTATGACTCTGGATGGAGCTGCCTAAAATCTAATATGGGGCCAGTAGCTCAGGGCTACATTTACTGCTACTTCGTGACACACTTCAATCTGAAACCAAGTGTTAAAGAGTCGAGCTGTACTGTGGGTAATGATGACACCAAGTTTTTACGAGACAAATGTGTGGAATAAAAAGAGAACGGGAGATCCGCTGTATTAACATTAGCAATCCAACACGATTCTACTAAGATAATGAAATATACCAAGGGTTCCTAAAATGGGGGGCGGGGGTTTCAATATTCTTTCTATTTGGCCCACAGAGGGGAATTCCAACTGATTTGTAATTTCATTTAATTTGTTCTATTGAAAATTGTTCTTTCAAATAATGTTCTGCAAATTTTGATGCAAAAGCTGTGAGTATGTCCCAGTGTGGTGCCTCGATATTATTCGTACAAATAGGAGAGTGGAAGTGTTGCTGCAGAAAATGGGTGACTGTTTCATCTCCACACAATCCAGCTGTTCATTGGTGACAACTCAACAACAGAACAAACACACACACAATCAGAAGCACTCTGTCTTTGCTGTAGTCAAATCTCCTCTTCCTTCGACTTTTGTCTGTTATAATATTTCAGGGAGTAGATCTTTACATTTTCAGACTGATGCAAATTGAGAACCATACGTCCTTGTGAAAAGGGCAGCACCCCCACAACAGAAAGCAAAACAGTGCTGATAACCCACTTAGAGAAATAAACAAATCTTCCTGTGTTTAATGTATAACTGTTTCCCTTACTCATTACCAGAGAGAACAGAGAAAAAAAAGGGCCAAAAGTCCCTGCTGGGTCACGCTTTCTAAAAATTCACAACTGGGTGGTTGTTCACATGACTGTACACAGAAAAACTGCCGTGTTCACATGAGTAACTGATTCAAAAGACAAATTGCAATTCTCAGAGAAGTGATGAAAAAACGAGAAACGCTCCAGAAGAACAGAGATTTACCTGAAGCGTTTTGACCTCAAACCCCCCCCCCTTCCAACGATAAAAGAGGAAAGTACCGAAAATACGCAAAAAAAAAAAAAAAAAAGCAAATGTCTAAAAACACACGTGAGGTGTACCAGAAGAGAAAATATCTAATCGTTCAATGTTATTTATTTTTTACAGATACTTTGAGTTAAAGAAAGAAAAAAAAGTACATTTTCAATTGATGTTTAGTTTAAAAACAGCAGAAACACCTCTATTCCCAAGTCATTTTACAAACACCAGGTGAAAAGCAAAAAAAAAAAAAATTAAACAACTGTGATTCAAGATTCATTTCATATTATTTCATTTTAGTTAGCAGTTTAAGTCAAGTACTTGGATGTGTATTTCAAAGTATAAACTTGTATGGACTGAAAAAAATAGCTGTAAATAGCTAAACTTATAGTTTTTCAGATACATGTAGAAGACATGTCATTATAGACTAAGGACCAAATGCGTAGCTATTGTGTATTTCTAGAAAGGACGGGGAGCAGAGACAGAAAATTATTCTTTAACAAGTGTATTTCTACCTGACACTGCTGGGTTGTTGTCATGTTGTACATATTTTAAACTTCATCTAAAAAACTATGAATGACCAAAAAGCATGTGGACAAGAGGTGGAGTCACACACAACATTCAGAGACCCTCTACCTTTTCTGTGAAGGCCACATGCTGGAGGTGGAAATGGCCCGAGAGCTGATATCCCTCCTTCTCACTCATGGACTCTTCTTGTACGCTGGAGACAGAGTGAGTAATTCAATAAGTCAAGTATTCATTTATTGCTTTCCTTTTCAATCATCGGGGTTTTTTTTTTTTCTTTCTTTTTTTTTTTTTTTTTTTTAACTTCCCCCATCCACCTCCACACCAAGGAAAAACAAGCGAGTTCTGCAGGTTCCATCTGCGGCAGCGCTTGTCGTCTGACTGCGGCTTAATTACGAAATATTGGCGCCGTTTTCTGTAAAGATTACTCACCGTAGGAGGCCTCACATAATTTGGACTGGAGGGTTTGTCGCAGAAAATAATACAACGCAACTGGGCTTTCTGTATTAGATTTGCGCTTTTAGCCTCCTTGACATTTCAAGCTGCATGAACTAATACATCTGTTATTTGTTGATCATTTGATTATTAACATACTTCACAAACCAAATCAGCTGCCCTGCTGGAGACAAAGCTCACAGCTCAGCAGACGGCCTGGGTTTGTCTCGTCTGCCGCACACAAACACACGAGCAGAGTCGCACAATTCAGCCCTCGGTGAAAAAAAAAGGAAAGTGAGGGGAAAAAACATTCATCTTTCTCTTCTTTGAGCCTATGAACACAGTGACACCGGCATGGAACAAAGCCCGTCATCACATTCTAATCTCGAATTTCAGGGCTTTTATTTCACTCAAATGCCACCCTGCTGGCCTTGTGAATTATTGACAGACTGACACCAATGCGAAAGGACACATAAAAGAGGCTAAAAGCTCCTGCCCTAGAAGAACTTGTCCTCTCCTGTTGCCATCACCAGGGAGACAAACTGTGTTAATGCTCCTGTGGAAGCTTACTGTAACTTTGACAGAGGTATGTATGACTCCTGACCCGCAGCTGCACCGTACGGCAGACATATTCTCTGCAGCTTCGCCTCTGTGGTCTGTGTATGAATGAGCCTTATAGACATTATGAGAAGAGCAGCGCAGGGCCGTGTGTTATCTGATCAAATCAGGAACATTAAAAGCACTAACTCAGTTTGTTCTGGGTGGAGCTGGTTTAACGCCTGATTCGACTACTTCTAGGTAGCTTAGAGAGAGAAAAAAAAATGGTACTCAGCTTGGCGAGCATTCATTTGGTTTGGATGATGGAAAGTAAATGGAGGTAAGCCGTGTGTCAACTCGACAATATTTGTCAGTTTTGCGCCTCATTTTGCTCGAGATTAAAATGTTATAACAAGAGGAAACAGAAGGTGAGGAGAGAAATAAGAGCAAAACCCAAATACAGTGAGGGTGTGTGGATAAAGGCAGATTGAACCAAAGCCACGTGAAGATAGAAAGCCGTGTTTGAAGAGTGTTTTTGTGCTCTTTCTATTGCCGTCTAATCCACCTCGCTCTCATTGCTGGCACCCTCAGGCCGTCTCAGTTTGTCCACCTGTTCATTAATCTGTCCGTCTCCACCTCGCCGGTCCTCTGTCTGCACACCAACAGCCTCCTCCTCTGTGCCGCCGACGTCATCCTCCTTGCTGTCCTCCTCCCCCTGCACCTCCATACGGACCTGGTTCTTTAAGTCCAGCGGCAGGTCGATGGTGGTGGCATCTCCGTTCAGACCGTGAGCACCGTCAGGTCCTCCCAGTGACTCCTGGGAGTTGTGGTGTCCGTCCTTGAGAGGAGAGGAGTTCGCAGACTCGTTACTGACAGGAGAGATGTCGCTGCTGCTGTTATTGAATTCTGTGGGGTTTATGAATGGTGAGGTGGGCGCCGAGGGGGCCTTCAGGGGGATCTGCCACGAGGGGATTTTAGGAATACTTGGGGTAGAAGGAAATTGTCTCCTGTGGGAAGGAAAACAGACAAAACCAGACCATGACCTCTTCAGAACCATGACGACTTCAGGGTGACCAAGTCAGATCATCAAAGCTACATTTAAACACGCACACACACACACACACACACACACACACACACAATTAGCACTTCGCACAAGTCTTGTAATTAAAGCAAATAGAGCCCCCACCTGTTCACCCCCCAGCCCTACACTACAGATCCAGATGTTCATCACACCTGGTAAAGATGTCACACAGAATACTGCTTTTAAAATAAAACACACCCACACACACACACAATGCTGACTGTAAAACCTGAGCATCTCTAGGTCTTAATAAAGGCTGAAGATTATTTTGATGATTTAAGACAAGACAGGAACAAGTCTGGAGAAAGATGGTGATGGTACCGATTTTATGTTAACATTCAGGCTCTTTCTGCGGTGCCACTTCAGGTGAAGACAAGAAAGCAAACGTCGGAGGTGTCGAGTGATTAGAATGAAGGAGGGAAACAGCACATGCCCAACAAGACAGTTCTGGGGTAGTTTTTGTCCTTGTCAGTTTCTGATGTACAATCTTACCGCTGCCTTCATTAGAGACACGGACACACTGTCGTACATGCTAATGGGCTCAACTGAGCCCACATAGGCCTGAAGAGATGGGGGAGAAAAAAAAAAAGGCTGGACGGGAAGTTTTATCTAGACTGGTGTTGATTATTTACAGACCTGTAAGATGTCACTGGAATATAATATGCAGTATTAAATAATGAAAGAAAACTAGTTTAGAAAGAAGAAGGCAGAAGGATGGTGTAAAACAAAGTCCTCCTTTAGCAGAAAATAATTAAACATCAAGTGTGTGACTTCTTGAAGAAGTGGAAACCGATTTCTAAAGAGCGCAGTTGACCAAAAACATATGTAGAATACTTAACATTTTCTGGACTGAGAGTTGCCACTTATTTCATCTAACAAAGAGTGATGTTGCCTCAGCTCCTTAGTTGCTCAGTTGTCCTAGATGCAGCTGGTTGAGGCTGTTGCATATACATGATTCTGTACTTGTGTTATTATAGTCGTCCTCATTTTGTACTCATAAAATTAGGAAAAGTTGCACAGGAACAATTATGCGCGTGTGGTTATCTGGCTAACCAATAAAAGCAGTAAAACACAGAAGAGCAGCTGATGCCTGCAGTATGCTAATTGGCCGCGGCAAGTTGTGAAGTAAAAGAAATGGTGCAATCAGTATTATAACCTCTAGTGCCTGCGAGATTAAACATCTCTGAGATTAATGATTATGCTTTAAGTGAGCAATTTGGAAGAGCAATGTGACATTATGTGTTCTTTTATTTTATTTATTCATACACAAACACAAACTTTCCGGCCAACTACCACAATTCTGTACAGTGGAAGCCAGTAATGCAAAGATGACTGCATTATGTTTGTTTTGTAATTGTGTGTACAATCTGAGCAGAACCTACCGTCTTTGTGAGCACCCGAACACAACACAAACACACGCAGAGCACAATTTAAAATAATAATAATAAAAAAACGTTGTTAATAATATCTGACTAAGTAGTTTTTTAGGTTTATGAATTAATTTGTTAGAAGGAAACCATGCAAAAATAGGTCTGCCTGGCTTTTCTGACAGTTGGAAACACACCCGTTACAACTCAATCTACCAGAGTAACCTGTTTTATCATGCAAACCCAGAGAGTAAATAAAACCAATAGTACAGGTATAATAAAGAAAGTTTAAAACACCTGGTGTGTTGTAACATTGTGACACACACGCACATATTGTACTACACTCACACACGAACTCTGTTACCTGCTGAGCAGTAAGCCCTTTAAGGAAACCATCTCCTGCTTCAGCTCCCCAATTGTTTGGTTTTCCACGATGCGGGTGGATGAAGATGTTGCCTATGGAACAAACACAATTTGAGTTCACACAGACGCCACTCACAGCAAATACAGAGGCTCAGCACAAGGTAAACAGAAATCCTTTGACAACACCTTTATTGTGTCGTCCTCCCAACAATATGGAACAATGACAAACGCTTGTTTAAAGGAGTCGGGGCAACAACGAAGATGAAGATTAGCTTTAGCTCAGCTGTGGGAACAAAACTTCCTCAAAAAGTCATACAAACCTCATTTAATCAGATTGTGTACCAGTATAGATTTGTTTAAAGGTGAGCCAGCTGATTTGCATAAAGAGTTGATTTTGAAACATGACAACATTGATCAAAGAACACCACAGGTGTACAGTTTGAACTGTTCTCCTTCATCAACAGCACCCTCTTTATTTTCCTTCATTCGCACACAAACATGTGTTTTCATATTTACTGGTAGAATTCAAAACAGAATTCTGTGCTGACCCGGAACTAAATGTCTCAACAATGACAAAGACATAATATGCACGCAAAATAAAACATGAAAATATTTGAATGGCACAAAAGGTAATAAGATGGAAAACAAAGACAAAAGCTAAAACTAAGGAGGGGGGGGGGATGTTCTCGTCATCAACAGGATAAAGTTCCCATTTTAAATGTTCTTGTCATCAACAGGATAAAGTTCCCATTTTCTATATATCTAAAAAAGTCTCATTCACATATACTGAATGTAGACAATGTAAAAGCTGTTTATGAACTTATACCATGGTATACTTTATACCAGAAACTAATAGAGAAATCTAAAAATTACTCTGAAGCTTTCAGTTTTTAGTAATGTGAGCTTTCATGAACTCTTGACTGAATTCTTAACAAAACAATCAGGAGACTAAACTAATCATTTCACAAGGTCAGTTAGCTAAACCATTAGGTTAGTGACTGGTAAGCCATACCCAGGTTAGCAACTTGGGTATGTCTCTAACACACAAAGTCCAAACGTGGCTTGACACGTCGACTTCAATGCCAAGCTGCAAGAACCAAACACTTGAATGTTTTCCTGTGATGGAGAAGGCTTTGTTCGGCTATTAAGCAAAGGAGTTTGGAGCTGGAGAAGTAGCTAATTGCTTGGCGTTCTTATAGCATTCATGAATAAAGAGTGTAAACGTACAAGAGCAGTAGGAAAGACTGATGAGACCAGAGAGAGAAGAGACAGAAGACAAGAGAAGAGTGGGATAAAAGAAAAGTAAAAACTGTAATTAAGGCTCTCCTGACTCACCAGAGGAAGCTTGTTAGGAAGTGTAGACCCCCTATTGAGGGTGGAAGGATAACTTGGACTCTTTCGCTTGTAATTAAATCTAAGAGAAATTAATTGAATCACATCTGAAAGGGATCAGGCTCATTTACCGTAAAAGGAGGGAGGCAGGAGGAATGAGGGGAGACAGAGGAGGAGATGAGGGGAAGAAGTGTTTTCTTTTTCTTTTTTTTTAAGCTGTTATCAGCTCCTAAACCTCACTGATAAGGAGCTGCGTTTTAGAAGGAGTGCAGCGGAGGCCAGCTCAAGACGCAGTTATTACAGTCGTCACCTCATTAGAACCATCTTAATCCCTTGCCTTCCCAAAGCAGCAGTATAATAACAGTGGATTCTGCTTCTCCATCATTTTACACAGAGAAAAATATTGCTGTATAATCTGTTCTAAAAACGAAGCCCGGGGCCAGGTCTCTCTCACTGACCCAAATAGGAGGAATTCAACACACCTCGTTTAAGAGGAACAGCTGTAAGCAGAATTGTTAACTGCTAGCTACATCCATAATGTGCATTATCTACAGAGCAGCACCATATAATATCTCACATCAAGGCTTGTCACACAACACTACCTCTGACATATGTCTAATTAAGTCTGAGGAAACCTAATTAAATGTTGGGCCAGGACTGGATTTCAGCTCTGAGATACATTATGTCAGTGTTTATACACACGTTGTGAAAGAATCTCCTGTTAAGTGCACTGGGGGCTTAGGTGGGCTGAGTGGTGGTGGTGAAGATGGGCTATCAGTGACTGGAGAGAGTGAACGTGGGCTGTCATATTAGACGCCCTGTCAGAATCACTAACACATATCCAATGGACTGAACAAGTTATGAATAAAAAACAATTATCTTTGAAACGATTTTTCAGCCTTTTTATCGTTCTTTTTATCTCTGATATACAACAAATCTGAGATATTTTGACTCTATATTCATATCAAAACCAAAATGTGAGAATATAAAGATTTTTGGATTTTATACTGATTGACATTAACCTTATTTTTTGGCAATGTTTGGACAAAATACTCAGCTAGCCAAACTGAAAAGTAGGGGTGTGTACTAGCAAGAATCCGACATATGTATCAGGATACAGGGGCAAACGGTACAATATATTGTGATATACTGTGATACTATAGGCACGACGATACAGTGAGGATTTAATTGTAAGAAAACTGTCTGCATAGTAAACACACATTGTTGTTACATGCTCAACATCAGGTTACTAAAATTGGAACTGAGATCTACATTAGTTATCACAGAAGAAGAAATAAAAGCTGAATTAAATTAACCAAAGCCATGAAAATCGCATGTTAATTGTTAACAAAAAAAGTAATTAATTAAGAAATAATTGATGCAGTATTGTATCACTATCAATACAGTATCATGAAACCGAATATCATGATATGACAAACTGATACTTTCTCACACTGTAGTGAAAAGTATTCTTCTGGTAATAATATCAGTGTCTCCAGAACACTGAGTCTGGAGACAGAGTTGGATTATTTTCAGTAAGTATCTGTTTAGAACAGGTTGATGAATGAATTCCAGTCAAAGGCAAAATAAACTGTTAATTAAGACATTATGTAATATTATAAATGGAGAAGCCCGTTAATGTCCAATGGAACAGAGCTGAAAAAGTTGTCTAGCTCACTAACGCGCAGTGTTCTCTCTTTGTATTTGTGGACATAAACTCAGTCTACAAACCACATGACGTTAGCCTTAATAAAAGGAGTTGTCTAATACTAACTGTTGTTATTTTAAAAGAAACACAACCATCACTTACAGGCCAGGATAGCCCTTTTATTTTATTGTCAATTGGTTCTTGAGATTTGGTCCACTGGGGAAAGACTAGGACCAATATTTTCTTTTTTCTTTTCTGGCACGACTGCCAAAGTAAACTAAGGTAAAGTACAAAGAATCCTGTTTTTGACCAACGTTTAACTTCTTTTCAAACATCCTGGTGCACAGCTGCACAACAAACAACATAATTAGACCAAATATAAAGTACATTCTGTATGAACAGAGGACAAACAAGAAGAACAAACCCAGTGAAAACTGTTAACGCTGCAGAGCAGTCAAGCCATATATATACATATATACATATAAATATATAGAGATATGTGTATATATGTGTATATATATATGTCTTGATGCACACAAACATGCATACACAGATATATAGATACAATATATACACATACAATATATACTGTATATGCACTGCCATCCAGCAGTGTTCAAAGACAGCATTGCATCTGTATAAATGAAGATAAATGCCTGCAACAAGATCTTTAACAAGCCGTGTTTAAGAGAGTCTGAAGGCAAATTAATTCACAGTACTCCGCTGGCAGACCGTGTGTTTTCATGTAACACATGTATATTTATGATGGAATTAGTTTCAAAAGGAAGTCCCCAGAGGAGGGTTTTTGAGTGGAAACACTGCTAGTATCCAATTGATTTCACTCAATTTATGCACTTTCCCACTGGCAGTATGTCTCACAAAAGCAAAGAGGCGGTCTCTAATCTTCTATGTGTTATCCACTATTAAAAGAAAAAAAAAGAAACAAGTGATGAACTGAGTCAGCAGGGCAAACATAGTTAACAGTAAGATATGTGAGGATAATGGAGTGAAAACAAAGCCCTAGCTGGTTAACATTAGGAATAAATCACCCTCAAGCAACCTGTCCTGTGTCCAATCCCTACAGAATACAATAAATACATATTTTTTGTTAGGAAAAGTAAATATTTTAATCTCAGTAGGTTACACTGTTTAATTTCCATGCATCCTTCATTTGGCTGCTTGACTACAGAGGGCGCTATACTGTAGATCAATTTGGCCTCATATAACAATTAGAGATTTTCAAAAACATATTTTGTTTCCTCAATTTTGCAAAATTTTAAATATTTTAGTTTAGTCCTGGGCATTTGCTAATGCCAGTAGGAGGTATTACGACTACAAATAAATTAAAAAAAAAAAAGTCACTTCAGAGACAAACAAAGAAATGTCTCCAAAAAACCCAAGCCAAATCTGTCCATGAAGTTGAAAGCAAATATCCAATGCTACATTGGTAAATAATCTACTGGTTCTTTGTCGGTTTAAGCTAAACAGCCTTGCCTAATTTTGGAACCAATGTGAAGCCTCATTAATGGTCCTGAATAATTTTTGGGCAAAATTTGTGGAATCGGTCTTTTAGAAAGAAGAAGACAAAAAGAAAATAATTCGCAGAAAAAGAATAACGTCTTCTCAGCGGTCGGTGTCCGAGACCATAAAGAGCCGACCTGACGCAGGCCCTGTAGTCTGGAAATGTGCTGCATCAGCAGTGTGTGTACGAATTCACTTTCATGATGAGGTGGCCGGTTAAGGAACAGTAAACATGGTCCGCAAGTGCGTGGTTTCCAAACTACGAGAAATGTTTACTTAGCAGCTGAGGAAACAGACGTCTCCATGTGTTTTGGGTTAAAGGCACATTTCCGCGTTGAGAGGTATAATTGCTAAGCGTGGTTCACTTGGAGCCGCGTGGTGAGGAAAACCCAGAAAGCCACAAACGGTGAATGATAAGTAGCTCTCCAGCACCAACATGTGTTTCTCATCAAATATCCTGGACCTGAAAACAATTTCCCCCGATGATTCAGGACAAGAAAGAGCCGACTTACAGAGAAAATTTAAAATCAATGTTATAGCTATAAAAGAAAATTTATGATTTGTTTTATGGATATTTTGATGTGAAATATACTTTTTATACACTGCTGCTGCTGTCCAGTCAGGCACTTATAGCAAATGAAGTACACACTGCTGGAGACAATCTAGGATTTGAAGATGTCAAATACAAGGAAATGTCACTTCTGGTGACAGTACAACTTCACTAACAGACTAATGTTGAGTCAAATCTAATCTTCAGACCTCGTACTCATACAGGCTGAGCTCAGTCCTTTCTACACTCAAAAAAAAGAAAAAAGAAAAGCAGCTAAGAACTTAAAACGGCACAAAATATTAGATGCGAGTTGTCAGTTTTTCATGAACCTTGTCCGGGGGAAGAGATTCATATTTTCCTTCCTCATTTGTGCTGAAAACAGATGTGTCTGCATATGTTTTCCTGAGATATCCAGATGCTACAGTGAAACACCCGTGTGCTTAACAGCTGCACACATAAAACATTGTCTTAGATTGTCTCTTCCAAGGCACTTTTTAAGAGCCCAGAGATCATAAAGTGATTTATGGCCGGTGTTATAAAAGCAAGAAACATTTCATCCTTGCACATAAGTTTTAAGAACAATCACTCAGTCTGATTCACTTAAACACTTTAGAGTAGATTATGAACAACGTCTATAAAAATCAAGGCAAAGAGGAATGACCATATGGTTAAGTATTATGGTCCCATGATGAGATGCATCGTACCATTTTGCAGCCTGCATTCTGATAATATACAGTATAATAAGGCTGTCCGTCTTAGGTACTTATGACTCTGGGAAGCAAAAGAGTTTTTTAGTGCAAAGGATCCTGGAGAAGACTCTTCTATCTCATCAATCTGGAGGTTTCATTTTGAAACTTTACATTTACTGGGCTCTACTGCAATTTACGAGTTTCTGCCTGTCTACTGTCCCGCAAATCATTATTTACAACATCACAGACCCTAAAAACATGGGAAGTCCGAGAACTTCAATGTCTCAAGACTTGGGAAGGTTTGTAAAAAGTTTACTCTTGATAGACTTAACTGTTGTTTTGAAGGCAACGTAAGATGTTGGACAGATTGTTGCTAAATATGAGGAAAATGCTGAATGTGGCAAATGCATTAGTGCGTTAATGTTTCTCTTAAACATCTCTTATTTTTTAATTGTGTGGGGTCTTTTTGAGTAACTGATGCTTATTTGCTGATGAAGTGGGAATTCATATACCTTTGCTGAATTGAGTTCCTGGGAGAGCTCTTGGATTCTCTGCTGCTGCTGGATCAGGAGCTCCTGGATGGAGCCCAGGGTCTGCTGCAGCTGGCTAACTGTGGAAACAGCAGAACAACAGATGGTAAAATCTGCAAATTTAGAAAACTTTTTTTTTTTTTTTTAAGAGAGGCAACGTTGTTTGTGTTTTCATGTCACCAACTCATCTTTCTGGAGATAGCACTAGAAATGACAAGATCCTACTTACATCGCTGATCAAAGCTGTCCTTTATGAATTATAATCAAAGCTAATGCCCCGTAACTTTAGTTGGAGCTTTTTGTTCAGAGGCAGAGGGTGGAGGGTGATGGGGGCACATAGGGATGGAGATATTAATCTCTAGTGTCTGAACTTAAATCAAATAACAGTCTCTAACCTTCCATTATCCACCCAGACACTGGCTTCTAATGCATCTTAAATCCTCAAACGATCAACAAAGGAAAAAACAAGGCTCTTATTTGGGAGGAGGCTGCCAGACAAAATGTCCCCCCTAATCCTAATAAATATTGTTCTTTTTCCATTGACTTTGAAGATTGAATTAGTTCAAGTGTTGGTGTTGGATGTGGGTGTATGATTTCAAATAACACCAGGCACAGTTTGTTGGCCCCTGCTTCCAGTCACGCGTGTATTACCAAACAATGCATTAAGTTTCCTCAAGCTGATTATATTACAGAAAACCAATAAACATTCATATAAATCATGGGCGTGTAAAGTGTTAAATCAAGCCTAATAGGATTAACATCAACAGATATTGTGGCGGTCCACTACTGAGGTTGTCAGGCCAATGGTTAAAAGCCTGAGCTGTTGCCGCCTGATGTAAAGACGGCTCCTCTCACATTGAGTTACCCAGAGCCAGGACAAAAGACAGAGATGAGCTTGGAGTCTGTTTCTTTGGAAATCCCACACAGAGAAAATATTTGATCTTTCAAAGACACTAATATCTTGTAGTGACACCTGTGTTTAAATGGGTGGAGATGTATCAATATGGGTGGGGTGC